TGCTAATTTGGTCGATAATACATTTTGTATATTTCGTATTTGTGCAGCATACTATTTGCAAGTACAATACCTTGGGACTCCATTGTGTACAGAACATTGGTGTGATATTATATTTGATAAGCTGAATTAGAGTAGAATTGTGTATAGAGTGCCGATAAATTATGGTTCTCAGAGCCACCATGTTAATGCCTGGAGTAGTCGGGTGAGATAATTCCCACCTTAGTCAAGATTAGATGCTTTTGAACTTGTCCATACATGAAGGGCAGTGGCCCATAATGATATTCCACGCGCGTTAAGTATAAACGAAGTTAGCAAATTCTTGACTATTTGACCACACCACAAGTAACAGCGAACAAACAGCTCAATGAGTACTCAATACTGAACAGGTCTAATTTTGGTAGCTACAGTTACATACTCCCACTCCTGAAATCACAAAACTTAGTGAGAAATAGCCAATCACATGCTCTGAATTCATTTACAATAGCCAATCACATTGAATGTGAGTTTAATAACCAATCACATTGATCGTAGTCATATGTGTCCAGAAATTCTCATAACGTACTCCCTGCCGTAGTGGATCTCGTTGTGTAACATCCTCTATATTCAATTCAGCAAATCTCATGTGTTCTTCAGCATAAAGCATGTGCGATTCAGCAATTCTTATAGCTCTCAGCAATTCCTGTGTGGTCCTCAGCAATTCATATGTGGCAATATTTTATCCTCATGGCCTACCTTCGAACCACGCATCCAGATTGGCTAAAACAGTGATTGGGTCGATGGCCATGGCGGCACAGTGAGTATCATCAACGTTGGAAGACATACACAGGGCTCTTGACACCGAGAGATCGAAGAAGGCCCACGCGTGGTGTATTAGGCAAGTTGTTTAGTGGATAAAGCATACAAATCAGACCGATAACCTCCTCAAACTCGACGACACCATCAATCTTGTTGCCTTCACGTACGATAACTTCGTCGAGTTCATCGTATGAGTCATACAAAACACTGCCGCCATGCAAACACCATGTCCGGCTATCGATCAGCCTTCGATACTACTACAAAATGAAGCGAATGGCTGTGCCACCGGAGTACGAGAGCGAGCTAAAGGCAGTTTTTCAACGAAAGAAACTGTACAAGAACAAACAACATATTCAAACTCATAGCTATACGCCGTATCACTGCAACTGAGGAGCAGACCACGTCAGCAAAAGTGAGTGGCAATAGACCGCAGGTTTATGGTACTCTCGATGCTTTGTGCCGCTCAACGATTTCCGCCATGGACTCCGGCTTCCAGCGCCAAATTCTTGTCCTGTCGTGGAGCATGGCGCGGTTGAAATCAAATAAAAAAATCAAGTTGAGCCATTTCACCTACGAAGAAGATGCAATTTGAGTGACATTCATCAAATCAAAAACTAACCAAGATGCCAGGAAACGCCGCAACCCAAGTAAGTCATGTGGATACAAATGTATAACAACCCCGCACATGTGTCTTCCTTGCGCTTGGGTTGTATTTTGCCTGCAATCCAATCTTGGCACCTGGGGCGCTCTTTCCTGGCTCCTCACAGCGAACCCGTTATGGCTATTACCTTAAGGCTGCTTTGTGTATGGACAATCCTAAGGGCTGCAGTGAGATCGGAACGCACTCAATACACCAAGGCGCTACGACAATCATCTCTTCTGGCAGCGTTGGTGGACCCTCACTTGTCAGCATTTGCCTTCGTTGTAGTTGGTCTTTGGGGAGTGTGTTTGAACGCTATATGTACTATGAACATGCTGGTGACATTTTCGTTGGCTAAGTGGTTGCAGGTATCCCACTAAACCAAGCCAAGTTTGCCGTTCTGCCGCCACACTTCATGGACAGCAGCAGTGTTGTCGTTTTATAACAATGGAGGCCATATTCTCAAACTCCCTCCCACAAACAGCATTATTCTGTCAACCGTGTCAAGCACACAATATTTGACAAGTCGGTTTTTCGATTGCCGCAGCTGTTCGAAGCGTTGCATGAGGTGCTGGCGATAACAAGGTCACAACTGCTTCCCTGCTGCATACCACCGTACATTGAAGTGTACAGACTTTTGGAACAGCAAACTCAGTCATCGATACGGGAGGGGAGAATAGCTCAGGTGGTAGAGCATCGATTTCTTAACTCAGAGGTCGTGGGTTCGATCCCCGGCTTCCCAGGATTATTTTCACAAGGATTTATCCATCCCTCCCCTGGGGGATCTGGATAAAAAAGGGCTGCGTACGAAGACGAGGACCGAACTTCGAAGAAGATCGGTCGAAGCACGAGGTATGAAGCGTTGGGCGAAGTAAATTCCGAAGATTACACACCGACCCTGGTCGTGCAGGCGCGTTACAATTGGCGAAGCAGTTCCATGACATGTGGTTCGAGTGTGGGGCCTCGCGGAGGAATGTCTTAAAAAATGATAATCCAAACTCAATTAATCAGTACCATCCCAAGCAGCACTGTTACTCGAGTTAGCGACATGTTGAACTAGCGTGTCGTGGTCAGCGGGGTCATCACGTCACCTGGCCTCAAAGAAACAGCATCGAAGCTTGTCATTGCTGAGCACATTGCACAGTACACCTCATGTAAATCTGCCGACCTGCCAAGTGTTTGGAACGAACAAGAGGCGGCACATACTTTTGGTGTTGCCGTTCGCGGTTTGTACTCATTGGTGTCTACTGCTCGATTGGAACGCGATGGCGCTTTGGACAGTTGAAAGTAGTGACAATTTCTCGGATAATTCGGAAGCGCCGGGGCTCAAGAACTTCACGTCCGTTCCAAAATCGCAAACGCAGCTCAATTAATTTCATTTCTGTCGGCTTAATTCCAAGTACATGTGGGGATTGCAACCAATGACAAGGAGTACGTTCCTTGGCCTACGAAAGCTCATCACAATACAACAAATCTGGATTCAAAATCCATGTCCAATCTGCGCACATCTTGAAGTGGCAAGAGACCTCAGTTTGCAATTTAATTCGGTCTCCGCAAGAGGTTCCCGTCCGGATAACGACGGGAGCGAAAACAAAGAATTCTTTAGCCTCATCGCCCGAAGCAATGAGTGACTCTGACCACCAACGCTCGCTGTCCCCTGTTAACGGGACGGAGCGATCCCGATCCCGAGAAGCCGAACGCGGCCGTCCCGTGCGCCGTCAAGCCACTACCCCGTTCGCCTCTCCACGCCGGCGTAATCCCCCAGCTGTTGACCAGCGGTTTTAACCATATGGCTACGCCAACACCCCATTTACGGCGCCCACACCGACCCCCGTGACCGCGCCATTTTTCTCTCCCGCGCCAGCTGCGACACCAACTGGCGCCACCAACCTGCCCCCTGTCCCCGATGACGACGACATGGGACAAGGTGACGAGCGCGGCTTCGTGTACAACGCACCGGTGCTCCCTGACCCACCCTCATTCAACGGCTCGACCAAGTCGGAGCGGCGCACATTTATCCGTCAGTACAACAAGTACCTGGACCAAGTCAACGCCCTCCAGCTCAATGGCTCAAGACCCTTCGTGATGCCTGTCAGCGCGTGCATTGATGTCTTTACCAAGAAGCATGTGGCGATGTGGGACATGGCCAACCGCGACTACCGTGGCATCACGGAGGCAGAGTGGGCCGCATGGTTTAGCAAGGCGTTTGAAGAGGAGCCTCAAGACCTAGAAGTGCTCAAGAGACGTTTGACCACGGCGATCCGGTTCGATACGACAATCCTGGACGCCGACTCGCGCATTGGCAAGATCTGGACAACCTGATGCGAGCCTTGGAGCGCGACGACCAAGCGTGGGTCTTGGACCGAGAAGGCAAGACAATTGTCGACATCATGGTCAAGGCGATCAAGCCGCTGGGCCTGCAGAAGTCGGTCCAACGCCAGCTGGCTCTCCAACGCAACAAGGCGTTGAAGTCCAACGTGTACCGTTTCGTTGACTGGCTGCGCGTGCATACCTCCGGGTACCATTTGTATGCCCCGGCGGAAGACGAGAAGACTTCGGCGCCGCCTGCGACGGCAGCCGCAGCACCATCACGGCCGTCCAAGCCTGGACGATCCGAAGGCAGCGTTGGTAGCAGCAGTGGACCTCCCCGGCGCGCCCCCACCCCCGAGCAAGACAGCGCGAAGTACGAGCGCAAGAAGGCGACATGTCTCAAGTGAGGCAGCGAGAACCACAAGGTGGTAAACTGCACCAAGTGCGCGCCTGGCGAATCCGAGCGCCTGCTCAAGGAGCAAATGGACAAGTGGGAGAGCGCGCGCAACAGGAAGGTGACCAAGCTTCAA